TGCCGCCGGCCAAGCTCGGGACGCCGCGGCGCCCCTGTGCTTCCACCTCGATAGCGCACTGGTCGGGGCTCTCATAGGTAATAACGGCCGCACCCCCACTACCCGGGGTGCTTGGCCCCCTGAGGTAAGCGGGTGGGGGAGGGCGAGAGGACCCGGCCGCGGCGAGGTTTGTTCGTGTGGGGCCCTAACCGTCCCTCTGTGCCCGAGGAGGTGCATCGCTGCCTTCCGTCTCCCTGGCTGTGGAAGGGCCCCAGTGCCTTGTGATCCCCTTACATCTTTCTCGCCTGGGGATGGCAGGATGCTTTTGCAGAGTACTGGCTGAGGAGTGGAGCTCTCCCGCTCACCAGGGTAGCCAAGCTTTTCCTCCCTAAAGTGGTTGGGTTGATGTCTGTTTCCCATGGCCACCAGTCTGTAAGTGGGCTGAAGCCCCTCTTTAGTCACGTGGAGGAAGGGTGGCTTGAGCTGGTTTTGCTGCTCCAGCTCTTCAGCTGAGGTGCCTTCCCCTGCCACACGCACCTTGTGTTTTGTTAAATTGCCAAAAACGTTACCTGCGTTTACCAATAGTTTGGAGTCGCAAATTCTTTTATTTATGGATGCATGCACGCATATGAAGGTTTTAGGTTTTGGTCACAACCAAAATACTTACAGTTACCGTGTGTAGTTTTTGACAGCTTGGCCTAAATCTCTCCAATACCTGCCATGTATCTTTATAACAGGTCAGGGTGGAACTAAAATAAGAGAACTTGAGGATTCTTCGGGTTCCAGAATAAAGGTACCATGTGCTGTATGTCATCCAAGCCTGGACTCTGTTGGGAACATACTTGGTTTTACTTTCATGTAAAGCAGAGTTACTGCAGCAAGTTGAAGAGTGTTGCAAATAGCTACAATAATTCTTCTCTTTGACAAGAATTGGTAAAAAGGAAGTGGAATTGAGGGTTTAACTTGACTGGTATATGAAAGTAGGAAAAGCTTACTGATTTTTCTTTCCCCCCCTTAAGTATGCATTAATTTCCCTTTCTTTTAGATAGGGAATTAAAGGGCCTTTACCTGAGAAGTTCAAATTCAGAAAAAAATCAAAGACTGTTTTCAGTATATGTTCTTCTATAATGTTTATCTTCGCAGTATTAAAAAAAACTCAGTAAGGTTTTATGAACATAGGTTATAAGGGGAACTTACGAAGCTGAAGTAAAGATTTTTGGCAGCGTTGCTGTGCAAAACAAAGCCAAGATGTTGATTGACGATGCTGTTGCAAGATCGGGACAAAACTACATTAGAGGTGGGACTGAGAAAGGTAAGAAATGTGTTCTGGGGGAGAAAAAAAAAAGGCTGTGGATTGTCTTTCCATATATTTGGTAGTTTGCTGGAGTGTTTTTATATTGTTAGTATTTTACCGAAGTGAATTAAGTTTCACCTTGTTCTTGGACAATGGCATAGCTCCTTAAAACAGAAATATCTAGACATCTTCCCTTCTCAGCTATGAACAATTTCCCCCCCTCAAACTGCCAGACTTCAGTGAAAATCTGTTCCTTTGTGTTTTCAACAATTTGAATGAATGCAGAATGTTATACTAGTTTCTTGCATTATCAGTCCCATTCCCCCAAAATACAAGTACTGGTTCTAGTTTAAGTTTTAATGTAGTATCTGTGCAGTATTAAAATTCAACAAGCGTCTATAAATGTAGTCTGTAAAGCAAATGTACTGATTATAGCATGGACAATGCTGACTTCTTACTATTTTCATGGGAAGTTGGCATTTAAGATTTGATGTTGCACATCATGCCTCACTTTACTAGGCTTTATTTTGTTAACTTTGTCTGTTACGTGGATATATAAGTAACAATTGTATGTTGAGATGCTGCTTATGTTATTGGTATTCGTCTTGTTTGCCTGTGCAAAAAGTCATTGGGAGCACATACAACATCCATCATAATTGTTGATCTGAGGCACTGATGAGGAAGAAGGGATCTGAGAGTTGTGTTCCAGCGTTAGAATAAGGAATGGAGTAGTTGTGAGTTTTGATTTTAGAAGTGCCCCAGAAGGTGGATGAGCGTGTTTCAAGAGGCTAGAAATAGTTAACACTTCCTTAGTATGTGTGACTGTGTCTTCCCCATGTTTCCTGTTTTTCCAGTAATACATAATTGTGTTGCCATTTATATCTTCAGTGTAAAACCTTTCTTTCTTAAGAAGTGTTAGCCTCGTCAAAAAAGAGGTATAGAGTGTAACTACACTGGGACTTTATTGTGGTGACATTGGACGCTTTAGAAGTAAACTGTGCTCTTGTAGCTGTTAAAAATAAAGCTTTCTGTCTGCATATCATCTACTGGGTTCACAAGATTTTCAAAAGCCTGCTGCATAACAAGCCTTATTTATAGCTGGAGAAGCAGCATTTTGGAACCTGTCATTGCTTTCTTTAAGTAGCTAAAGATGTTGAAATGCTTCTTTTTTTATCAGAACTGGATTTG